ACATTAATTTTTTTTTTGGGTCCATAAAAACTTAAATAATATTTAGATCAAAACGCAGGGGGCTTACGGTTATGTTTTTATTACCCAATCTTAAAAATTTCTTTTCTTTAAATTAAAAAGAGCAACATACAACAAGAATATTTCAATGTCTTTGTAAATTGTAATGAAGATACGAAATAAAAAAAATTTAAATATATAAAATTTTTTTAAAAAATATTTTTGATATTTTAATTCTAAAAGAGAAAAAAAATAAAAAAAAGTAGGCGTTATAAAATTGTGAAAACGCTTAAATTCAGCTCAAAAGTTTAAACTAACAAAAGAGGCGTGTATCATATTATCTATGATTTTTCTTAATTGCATTTCAATTAATACGTTAAACACCAATGCTATTTTGTTATAGCTGCAAAAATAATACAATTTATATGTATATTCACCCTTTTGTTAAAGCAAAGTCCACACAACAATATTTCGTAGTTTTTTGGTATGCCTTATAATAGTTTAAAAAGTTATACTAATATCATATATCAGGAGTTGAGTTAGACGAAAATGGGATACGAGGTATGAAATATACGAGATACGATAATTTTTAAAAAAAGTAGAACATTCACTCGCTTAAAACACACTACACTAAATAAGTAATACATTAATATTTTAATTAAATAAATAATTATTTATAATAAATATAAAATAAAAAACACTATATTTCTTATCTGAATGACATAAAAGCAAATATTTCATCACGTGATATGTGAACGTACGCCATATAATAATTTTTTAAAAAGTAGGAGATTTTCACACGTTTAGGACACACTAAACAAAACAAATATAATACATTAATATTTCAAATAAATAAATAATCATTTATAATAAATCATAAATGTAAAATAAAAAATACTTAATTTCTGGTCATACTAGGGGTGTCAAAATGGGTCACAGTTCGCAAATATGATTCGCCTAACACGCGAAATAAATTAGTTTGGGTTGAAGTTAAACGAGTTCGTGTCACAAAACGAGTCACCCATTTATGACACAAATATAAACGTGTTGTGTTACGGGTTGATTCAGAGGTTTAAGGAGTGACCCATTTATTTAAGAGTAAAGAGGTAATTTTAGTGTTAAATATAAATTCTCAAACTAAAACCTATTTAAAGTTTATTGTTGTATTAATTTTTTATTTTAATTATAAATCTTGAAAAATTTATGCATTTTATGTGTGAAATTTTATTTTTAAATATGATTAGAGTTAAATAAGTTAAAAGTTAAAAATACTATAAGTAGGTTAAGTGAGTCGTATATAGATCAACATATCCACTTAACATGTTTATAATATTAAGTGGGTTACACGAGTTGTGTATGGATCAATACGACCCACTTAACCTGTTTATGATATTAAGCGGGTTAAATGTGTCGTGTTCATGTAAACCGTCTAATTTTCGTATTGTGTTTATATCGAAATTATATAAAAAATTATTTCATCATTTAATATTGCTCGGCACATTGCACGTGTTTTAAGGCTATAAAAAGCTACTTAGTCCCGATTACCTAGGTGACACATGTGGATATGGGTGAGAAAAATATTGTTCAAACGGATAATAGGCGGATAATTCCTCACATTTATTTTTAAATTACTGTTTTTTTTTTTTTGAAAACGTCTCAAATTACTGTTTAGTTCTTCACTCAATGACCAAAATGCAATTTCTCAAATTGAAGGAGTAAATAGTTTAAGAGGATCAAATGCGAGAAACTGCAGTAATTTCTTTAGATATTAAGGATAAAATAATATTTTTGATAAACTTTAAGAATTTTGTAGTAATTTATCTTTTCATACATACAAAGGATTTGCTTTACTGGCTAAACAGACAAAAAGGAAAGGGTGTCCACATTTCTTTTTCTCCCGAGAACCTTATATTCCTCAACCATATATTAAGAATTGAATTGAATTGAATTGAATTGAATTTAACTCATTAAAGATGAGTAAGAAAAAAAAAGTATTAATAAAGTTTATTTCTAAAGAAAAATAGGATAAATTCATAAATTTATCCATATATTTTTCATGATGAAATTTTTTATAATATTTTAAATTTATTAAAGTTATAAATTTTGATAATATTATATATATCTCTCTATATTAGTGATAATAATGTTTAGGTTTTCAATTTTTACATATAAATATTAATTTAATATATAGTTAATAAAATTTTTACATTTAAACTATTCAATCAATATCTAATTGATAAAAATTTAAAATATTTAAGAAAATAAAAATATTAAATTCACGAAAGTAAACATTGAGACTCTCATAATTTTTTTTTTCGAAGATGGCTGAATTTACACAATTGGCCAAGCAAAATAACCAGCACTCAGCCATAGCACAGCATCTTCTAAATGATTGCAAAAGTAAGTGGCACAAGGGCAAATACAAGTATTACACGTGTTCCAGAGGACCAATTTTATGGGGCACAGAGCCCTCCAGCTAAGGGAGCAAAAGACATAAGTGGAGTGAAACTTAAGGCACCAACCACCAATAGGGGCGGGCAAAGGCAAAGGGCACTAAAGTGTACGACGTTATCAATGTGCAGTGCCGTACTCTGGATTTTGTTTATCTGTTTCCCTCCACTTTCAGGCCCACGTTCGTCGTTCTCAGCGTTACAACACGCGCTACGGAAGGCCCATAAATATAAAATATTGGACCTCACGCAAAGGCCTAAAAGGGAAAAACCAACCAGCGGTTGGACCGCTGGCAGTCCGTTTCAGGGCAAGAAAATTGCGTGTGCTTTGTTTGGTGGAGCCCATGAAAGAAGTGAAATTTATTCTTACTAAGGGAGGCACGCAAACTTCCAATATTCCATTTCCATGTGTATAACTCGTAGTAAGCTCACATTTTATTTTTGGTGGTAGAATGTAAATTTTTTTAAAAAAAATAAAACAAATCTTGATGAAATAAGGAAATTTTGCACAGAAATATGTTCTACATTGAGATGAGTCCAAAGTGTTTGTGAGTGGTTAGAAAATATGGTGTTAAAAATGAAAAGCAATATAATGCTGTGATGCCTGCTGGCCATTTATGAACAAACAAAATAATTCCCCATTACGTCTTGGAGCATTCCTTTTGCTTTTCCAACTTTCTTTATCTTTTACCCAAAGCCTGCATGCATATCCTCTTCTCTTCGGACCAAAACAAGGCCACCATACCTCAAAAAGTGTAGCCCTTGGATGAAATCTAACCCTCGTGGGTGTCCTTTATACAGTTGTTTGCTTCAGTAAACTTGTTTCACAGGTGAGAAATAAGAATACACAACCATAATTTATTTAACTTATTAAAAAAAATTAAAAGAGTCAAAATAATATTATGAACTGTATAATAGGAATAATAATTTTTTTAAATAAGTCTCTTGAATTTCGAGCAAAGTTAGGATTTAAACTGAAAGAAGAAAAATCTATAAACAAATAAATTAAGAGAAACAAAGTGATTAAAATATATAAAAAATATCAATTATGCGTGGTTTAATTGGTCTTTTTGTACGTCTGATGTGTAGCCCATATAGAAATGTTAAAGTAACTTTTTTTTTTTTTAGAAGAGATTGTTTTGCTGCCGCCTGAAATTTGTGAAAATTCTATTATTAAAGAAATTCAACTGCAACTTCTCATTCTCATAGTTATATGGAGAATGAGAATACACTTACTATGGCTTTATCAAATATACTTACTTCTATTGCCAGGTTACATCCAATTCAAAATATACACTTGACCACAAACTTATATATATGCTTTCACCGTCAGTTTATGCTCAAATCATATACATACTTGCCAAAAACTTGTCAGAGTAAGCAATTAGGGGAGGAGCTATGTGTTGAAGAAGGGGGCAATTGCTCCTCTCCTCTGTTGAAAAAACAAAATTTCCCATAGCAATATCGCCAAACATAGTCTTAAAACACATTCAAACATTTTACCCCTTTTCATCTCTCTATAATATTCTTTTAATTAAATTTTATACTGTAGTAATTTGCCCCCATTCTTTCTAAATCGTAGCTCCGCTCCAAACTACAACTGCACACAATAATCATAATAATAATAATACTTTTGCTTACACTATGCTCTTCTATTGCCTGTGATAATAAGGGCCATGTCTACCAAAATAAAATTTCCCATAGACTTAGTGGAGGAATGATACAACTAACTGATTTATGGATATCCATTTTGAGAACATATTTGTTGGCTTAATTTATCAGGCAAAAGAGTCGACTCTGAGTACTATCTTCTAACCAAACATTTGACATGCCCCAAAAACGCAATCAATCATATTTAGTTTACTTTTACCTAATATTTGTAATAAGTTTATATAAAATTCATTTTATTTGCAAACTAATTTTATTAAAAGATCCGTTTATAAATGAATTTCATGCTAGATCAACCATACACTTCATTCTAAATACATAGTTATATAATTTTGCTAGTATGTATAAAAAATTTATTAGCTTTAATTGATTATAATCCTCTTTAGTCGGATTCGTTTGCAAATTCTATTAATTTTGGTAGACTATGAATTAAGTATAACTATTTCACTAAAATTAGAAATATAAAATTCTTCATTTATGCCGAACACAAAAATTTAGATTTATAAATTAATTACACAAATTATATAGAACTCATAAAAGAGTGTAATATGATGCTTAGCTGGACATTCACTGCTGGAAAGATGAAACTGGAGAAACAAATAAATATATTGTATAAGAACGCATCACAGGCACTTGCTCCCCATATCTTCTATATGGCATTACAGCAATTAATCAATAGCAATGCCAAATATCCGAAATTGAAGACAAAGCAGCAAGAGAACAGATTGAACCATCCTACAGTTTTGGTAAATAGAGATCAGAGATTAAATCAATCATATACTAATTTGTTTTTGTTGTGCAAAAGTGAATCCTTACACTGGTAGTACATGATATGTTACCTTCAAGATAAAAAATCACCACAATCGGAAGTCATAAACAAATGCAGAAGCCTGAATGAAATAGGACTTTCTATAACAAAATTGATCAGTATAATTCAGTTCTTGCTAAATACATATTGACATATCAAGTGACTGCAAAAAGGTTAAACAAAGTAAAGAAATTCTAGATGCAAATATCTCTAGATATTAATCAAAACTTATTTTAACAATAGCGTCAATGCAAAGGAGATACAAGAAATTCTCTTAAATCCCAAGCCTTTATTCTATCTAGTGTTTGTCCTCCTTGGGGATGTCTTTTTGAGGAACCTTTGATTCCAGTTCTTTGGGTGTTTGCTTCTCTGCAGTCCTGAATATGGTTACATTAATTTCATATTAGCATCTGTGAGATGGAAATTAAATTAACAAGTTGGTTAAGAACCCATACAATAAGCAGATATGCTAGAAGAACAATCAAAAGCAAGTTGATAAGAACAGAGTCAGATTTTTGCAAATGTCGATTGACAAAAGAAAGGAGGGAGACTTTACAAGATATGATCTATCCAGTATCAATTTCAAATATTGAAAATATGTGTTTGCAAAAATGTTGAGCTGGACACTAGTTGTGCTGGTGGAATTACCCACTAGACCTAGTCAGCCCGAACCGTCTTGCAGTTCTAGAGGACCCTGAACAATAAGAGGCAAAGATGCCAGATCTGGACAGTGCAAGGTTCCAACAATAATCATATCACTAATCTTCCTTGAATCAAAACATTCCTTATAACCAATCAAATTAAAAATTTGGCATGTCGTAGTTTGGACAATTCATGACACCAGATTATGAATCTTTATCCTTCAAATGAGTACAAGAAGGATTTCAAATGAATATTGTTGGCACTTGGCACCAACAAAAGGACTTCCCTATCATAGCAGTAATTGCATTCTCATTCAATTTAAACATACAACAAATAGAAAGTGCATAATAACCACAACCCTTTATTTCAGTGTTTCCAGTAATACAGTTGTTGCCATTTCCGAGTTTCAGAAACATTTCCTTCATGGAAATGTCTGGAAACTCCTTAGAAGGATTTTTGGGCCATTTAATAAATTGGGTAATTTGAAAACGCATTTCCGCCCTCAGAAACATGTTTCTTTAATTTAAAATAAATACAAATGTACAAAATATGTATTTTTATGAGTATCAAAATTGTAAAATGAGTATTTTTTTTTTCTTTTGGATATGGTTAAATGTTGATTGGACCTGCTTTATTGCATAGTTAATGACGATTTATTTTTTATATTTACAATTATACCCCTATTTTTTCTATATTTATGAGTTTTCCCATGTTTCTATTTCCTATATTTTTGAAAATGCCATGTCAACATGTCTGTTTTCACATTTCCGAGTTTCCACATTTCCATTTCCATGTGATATGGAATTGCGCATAACATAATAATTCCTTCAAATCAAACCCTCAAAAAGAGAACAAAAGTAAAGAACAAATTCAAACTGGCATCTGACTAAAGCCATATTCCATGCAACAATACATCATCCTACAACTCCAATACAGGCAAAAGACACCAAAATCTACAACTCCAACATAAGCAAAAGGGGATCGATATTATTACTCCCAAAGCAACACAAATTTTACAATTAAACTAGAGAAAATTTTCAGAAGTAGTACAAATTGAAGCACTAAATCCTGTATTGCCTTTATGATAAATCTGTCAATGCTCCATATGAAGCTAATCAAGACTCTTATGCACCCAAACTTCCCATCAGTAAAGAAAGTAAAAGGCGAAATGGTCACTAACAAGATGAAACTGAATTCTCCTAGTTAAATCAGAAAACTAACTGCATAGTAGAACCTTAACCTTTTCCACATCATTAATTAATAGCATACTTCTCCTTTGCAACAACATAGCAAAGAGAAAAAGAACCTATTACAGACAGCAATATGCTTTTGACAAAGTTCAGACAGCAACAGGGAATAGGCATTATGCAGAAAAACCACACATAACTGAGACCTGCCAAGTATATTATTGGAACTGAGGACAAACATCGTGGGAAGAATTTCTCCTTTAGATGATTGGAAAAAAGAACCGAATGCAAGTGCGGAAGCAGAGAATCCAATTCAAAACCAGACTTACTAGAGTTGAATGTTTAGTCACAAATGCCCAACTTGCCAAAAATATTAACTATAGGAATGTCTCTGAAAGACATTCAAGTCCTAATAGCAGTCCCTTCCATAAGAGAAAAGGCAGCTAATATTATTCTATTAAATATCCTAAATCTCCAACTGTGTTGATCAGTCTTAAATTAAAATTCAGAAAATTTCAGCTGAGAAATAAGAACCTATATAATCGAACCCTAAAGCATCCATGGTACACAAATACAACGGCAAAAAAAAAAAAAAAAAAAAAAAAAAAAAAAAAAAAAAAAAAAAAATCCATCTTATATCTCTAATAACCGCAACCAGGTTAAAGAGCGGAACCAGAAAAGAAAGCCATACAATTTCAAAAAAAAAAAAAAAAAAAAATTCAACCATATGTATAGAGAGGGCGTACTTGGAGGCGGCAGCGGATTCCTCCTCGAGCCAGTTGCGGATATGCTTGACGTTGCGCCTAAAAATGGCAGCCGATTGCTTAACATCACTTCTCAGCAACAAAACGACGGCGCTGACACCGGCCACCGTGATTATGAAATTTGTTAAACCCATCTCTGCTTCCAAACCCTAATAGATATCTTTTTCTTTGCGGACAACAATTGAAAGAAAAATGTGGATATTGGATTAGCTTTAGCAAATAAATTTCTTTACCTACACGAAAATTGTAGGGAAGTGATACTCAAGCATCACGGCAGAGCCAACTGCGAACTATCACTTGGTGGCTACCCATGTCGAAAACTGATAGCCGTTGGATTCCATAAGACTTAATCTACACCGTCAGTATTTACGAACCGAGTTTCTTTCAAATATATAGGGATTTATAATTAAATTTTAAATGCGATATATAATATAAAATAATAACGTATTATATTTATTAAAAATTTTAATTTAAAAACTTTTTATTTTATAATTTTAGGTAAACTCTGACTAAATTAAAGAAATTTCATTATAAATATGTAAAAAATTATCATCCAAATAAGTTTAATATTAAATTTTTATTATATAAAAGAATTTTTAAATGTTGAATCGTGTTATCAATTAATTTAATATCAATTAATTGTTCAATGATTCTTTTTTGAAAAATAATGTTTATTTTGAAAAATAATGATTAATTATTTATTTACTGAATTAGTGTCAACATTTTTATCCATCTAAATTTCACTAATAGGATTTTGAATTTGAACTTATTGACCTTTAAATATGTTGCATACTTCCACCACTTCTAGATATTGCAGGCACTTATATATACTTCTAAGATATTGCAGGCACTTATAGTATATATATATATATATATATATATATATCACTATATTATATATATATATATATATAAATATACTCTTCTTTCTCCTTTTTTTTTTTTTTTTTTTTTTTTTTTTTTTTTTATTGGTAGAAAAAAATTGTGGGTTTTGATTTGGGAGAAGAAAAATATAACGTCCTTCTATGTAGATTTTTTTATTTTCCTTAATTACTTATTTATTTTTTTAAAATTTGGAACTTAGAACAATTAGAGAAACAAATACTTGAATAAACTCATTAAGTGATAATATTGGATCCTAGCATGATTTGCTTTATAATTTTCATTTTTGATTTTGACTTTTTACCATCAAAATCTAAATTTAAAATTAAATTATAGCATTTTTTCAGAAGTTAATTTTGAAAATTAAAATTCGATAGTCTTTTATATAATTTATTTCTTTAAATCTACGTAAGTTCTTAAATGAGTTTATTTTCAAATAAAATTTGTTATTTTAATAAAAATTTTAATTTTTATTTTCTTTTCATCATCTGAATTAATATTAATAACCATTATCACTTTTTAATCTTAGCAAGAGAATTTATATCTCCCTTGCAACATAATAGATGACTTGATTAAGGCATTTTTTTTATTTTTATTGATATTTTTTTTTCTTTATATCTAATATGTTTTTGACTTGAAAGAAAAATTGTTTATAAATTGGAAAAAAAATTCAGAATTGTATATTTCTGTTTCTTGGTATTTTTTGGGTTACAAAAGCAGTTTGTGTGTATGTTCATAATATTCCTTTCTCTAATCGCACTGGGGTACGTAATACTAATCCCTATAGTCAAGATAATTAATATTATTAATTCATTTCATATATTCCTTTCTCTAATGCACTGGGTAAGTAATACTATCACTATAGTCAAAATAATTATCATTATTAATTCATACCATCTTCTCATTTCTTTTCTTTTACCTACCTGTGGAAAAAATTTTATTATTATTTTTTATTATAGCTGTATGTAGATATTGATTTGAGATTGAGATTAAGGATTGGAGATTAAGTGATAACTTGATTTTCTTTTTGATACCTATCAGGGTTTTAAGAATCTATATTTATAAGTTAGGGACCGAAGGATTATATATAAAGATTGGATTGAACTTTATTTTGAGACTACTTCATTATATAAAAATAGAATCAAGTATATAAGAAATAACATTACAAGTAGCTTATACCGCAAAGTCTAATACAAATTATCCAATTGTATTTATTTTAATCTAAATAAAAATAAATTTATGTTTTAATACTATACAGATAAAAAACTAAAAGAGTATAAAAAATAAAAATATACGATGTCGACGTGCAATGCACGTCATAAAAAAGACTAGTTACTATAAATATAGTAAGATGTAAAAATTAAGGATTTTAGTAAGTAAGTTAATTTCACCAAATATGAAACTTATGGATAAGTGGATAATATAGCTTCTTATGAAGCCATGTCATATGATAAATGGCTTCTTATGAAGCCATGTCTTATGATAAGTGAATTTTTAAACAATATTTTTTTAGAGAAGAGGTAATATTATGAGCTATGCAAAGCCAATTCGGCAATTATACAAGATTCTCTATAAAATTAGGAGTAATATCCCAAATATGAAAATTGGCATAGAAACAAGCCTTCCTTACTATAGGATGAGTTTGACCGATTAACTTGTCTTCTAACCCAAGCCATTGAAGCATTGACTAATTGAATTAACAAATTTTTGCAATCAGCTATAACCATTCCACACTTGGAGAGATCAGTAGTCCCTCAACAAAATAGCAGATGAAACAATATTTTAATATTATTATTCTGCCAGAATTGAAGATTTCTGTGGAACCAATATTGTTAGATTTGGTAAAACTGCTTAAAGGTGCTCATCCATCTATAAATATGAGTCGTTTAAGGTTGTTATACAGTGATGACCCTATTCAACATTCTAAGTTGAATACCAGTGCAGACTACTTAGCTGATCTTGCTGCTTCAATGGGTCAAGGTTGTCATGTTTTGGATTCACGTCCTGTGGGTTTGAGGGAATGGTTGTAGCATGATGTGAGAGGCATTGCCTACTCAAGATTATGTCTTTAGCCTGTTTGTTACTTCTTTATTTGCCAAAAAAAAAAAAAATTTAGTTAGCCTTTAAGTTAGAAAATCTACTTAAAATAAGTTAAAAGCTTAACGCATATGTGGCAGTGAAAAATGGTCGACCAGTCCAGGTTTTTCGACCAGTCCTGGGGTTTGTTCGGTTCCTTTGGCAAAGTTATGGGGCATCTTTCAAGGTTTGAGGTTGGCAAAAAATTATGGCATCACCGCATTGCATGTCGAATGCGATAATGATTTGGTTGTGAAGATGATTAAGGTCGTGGTGGCTCTACCTTTAGGATTTCAGCCTGTAGTTGCCTCTATCAAGCAAGTAATGCATGAACGAGGAATTGTGGCTTTGTCCCATATATACAGGGAAGCTAACAACTGTGATAATTGATTAGTGAGTTTGGCGTTTTCTCTCAATTTCGGAGTTCATTTGTTTTCAAATTGTCCTTCCGAGCTTCACGATTGGATTGTTCATGATGCTACTGGTATAACATATTCGAGATTCTATCTCTAAGACTTTTGCCTTTTATTTCTACCAAAAAAAAAATATATTATTCACTTATCCTTTGTTTTAAAAAAAAAAATTCAACTTTGGAGTTTACATTATATAAAAAAAAACCTTATGAGTTTCTATTTAGAAGTAGGTTTCACTAATTTAAAAGCTAAACCATACATATTCCATTATCCAAGTCACACATCAAGGTGGGGAATTATAAATGGATATCCCACAATTTTATTTAAGCCACACCTAGAAACAGAAATAGGATGGGTACCTATAAATTTTAGCTATTTGTATCTATATCCATTTTAAATTTTACTATTGATAATAATCTCAAAATCCGTTTAAGCATCTATATTCAAATTCATTTAGAATTTTACCATCATACCCATTCTAAATTTATTTAGAGTGCCTTTCATACGACGAATATGGTATATGCAATTTTTAAATTATCCAAACCCAACTTATTTAAAATATATTTTTTAAACTAATAGTGGGCCATGATCAAACCCGTTTAATATAACAAGTATCCAAATACTCATACCTGTAATCCTATCCGTATTGGTTACGGATAATTTCACTATACATACCCATTTCAAACCTATTTATAACTATCTATATCTTTATGGGGTTTACTATATAGTCACTAGATTTTACTTAAATACACTTATAAAGACCTCAATTTTGATAATTTACTATGTAGTTCTTGCATTATGATTCCGTTATACTATAAGGTCCAATCACTATTTTTTTTTTTTTTTAAGTGATTGTGGAATGTCAAAAAACACTCCAAAGATAATTACTATATAGTCCTTTCTGTTTGGCAAAACACACTAATAAAGACCTCAATTTTCACAATTTTACACTATTTGGTCCCTATATAATATTTATCATTAAAAGGTATTTTTGACATTTTACAACTATTTAAGGAAAAAGCTACCTTTGAATCTTATAGTATAACGAAATATAATATATGGAGTAAATAGAGTAATTTTAAAAATAAAAATTCTTATCAGTACATTTGAGAAAAAGTTAAAAACTATATATGAATTACCTCTATCTTTATTAAGGGATCAAAGCGGTCACGTTTAACATTTAAAAAAAAAAAACCAAGGATAATTCTAAAATTATTTAAAAACGTGCTCATCCTATCACTAATTCAATAAAAAAAAAATATAAAGACTCGGCATTTAAGATAAAAAAAGGGCATTTTCTTGACCTTGTTGTAATTTTAAAATTTCATCAAACTAATTAAAAATATTTGTCATCATTATCATATTTTTAGGACTCTTGTTACTTAGTCTAAGGCATCATTATTCATCTCACACTTATGAGTCATGAGAAGTATCTAGATCAATGGATGACAAAATTAACCCAATACAGAACTCCTATATTAAATAAAAAAACAACAATATCATTAAATATTTGAACGCCCACTTTGTTAGCAGTTGATCAGAAAATGACCAAATTCCTTATTTTAACACTAGAATATATATCCCACCTCATCAGATTTGATGCTGATAATGAATATCTTTAATATATGCATTTATCAAAATTAAATTTTAGTTTATGAATAGTTTGAATTGATTAAATTTAAATGTTATTCTTTTATTTGTTTAGCAGAAATAAATCACAATACAATACATGAAATTTAAGAATTTCATCATGATATCAATTCAACTATTTTAGAAAAGTGAGAAATTTTATATAAGAGGATAGATTTTTCAATTTTGTCAATTTTTATTAATAATGAAATTTAAATGATTTTATTTTATAAAAGTACCTCTGAAATTTATGACTCTTACTTTCCAATCAAACAATGGAAATTCTATAAATTTTACGCTTGCATTAAGTTAAACTACTATTTAACTTTTTTTTTTTTTGACAACAACTATTTAAAAAGAGTTTATGGAATTAAATATATTTAGAAATTCTCTCAAATACCAATTCTAAAAATCTAACCATATGGATAAATTCATTTTGTCACCTGAGGAAACTCATAAATTAAATAAATAATTACTTCCAAAAAATATGCAAAATCATTTTATTGAATATTAACTTATAAAATTAAATCGATTAAACATTTATTGGATATTAAAAAAATATAAAAAATATTATTTTAATATTTTATATATAAAAGTTAAAAAACTTATTAAAATTCGTATTACTAGTATGAAGACATGTGTTAAACATTTTTCAGTGAAAATTACACACTTAAATTTATACATTTGGCGTTTCTGATTTGTTGGGGGGTTTGGATCTGTTCAAAAGGGAAAATAATACCAATTTGGAAGGCGACAGTGTGACAACAGATTGCTCAATTGCCTTTCAAGTTTCACCTAACCCCTTCCACAATAGCACGCAGTTTTTGAGTTGGCTTAGAGTATAGAGTGTGATCGATCTCTACTTTGAAGCTAATAAAATTTTATTGGATTTAGAAAAGGACATGAAGATTAATCTCTGACCGTCTGATCATTCTTATGATGCAAACAATGACTTCATCTACGATGCAGACAATAAATGGAGTGGGTATTTTTGATGAGGCAAGCAAAGCATATATAAATAATTTACATTGTCAACCCCAATTTTTTCTCCTCTTCTCCAAGTAAAGGAAGATAAAGAAATTGTATTATTGATTCCCATTTGCCTGAGGGAATTGCTTTCAGGAATATTAATACTATAAGGATATTTGTTGGAATGTTTCCCATTCAAATCTTCTCAAGTGCAATATAAGAGTTTGAAAAAATTATTCAATTATGTTCAATAATATAAAATCATTTGAATTAATTTCTGTAAAATAATTTATGCAAATGGACTGTTGCTAATATAATATTTCTATTTATAATTATAATTATAATTATAAATGATACAAAAATTCAAGATTTTCTTCTGACTTGTGACTAGTCTTCTTCATTTTCTTGTTATTCTTATCTTCTTTCTTTACTTCATTCCTTGGTTTTCACTCTGTTTTTTCCTATTCTTGATTATTATTATATTATTATTTTTTTACAACTAGGAGGTGTGATGAGTCCAAATGAAGCAAACTAGAGAAAGACAGAGAGATCTAAAAAATTATGGTGAAAAAAAAATTAGAGCCAATCAACTGAAAAGAAATTGCACTACCTGTATGCATATCATTGCAGGTTTAGATATATTTCAAGAAATAAAATCCAATTAGTCATCATTTTTTGTTTTTTTCCCTAAATTACAAGTTCAGGGATCTAATTGAATTAAAAAGTCGATTTAAAATTTTCTTTTTCTGGAATTACAAGTTTATACACGAATTGAGTTTTATTCTTGTTCCATTATGCCAAATAATTTGCTAAATCATTATCAGGTTTCTTGCCATTTGGTTCTAGCACGTTGTCCATTAGTATGGTAATTAATATGAAATTGCAATGGTGACAGATCTTATCTTGCTGTTTTCTATCGTATTGGCTTAAATTAATTAGCTTTAGAGGTGCTCCGTCAAATTTCAATTATATATAATATTTAAAAAATACACAAAGATGATTAGATATTGCAAAATACGTACTCCAAAACCTCATCTGAAAATACAAGTGGCGCCTCCAGAGTGCACCACCAACACTTTCAGATCTCTTACTCTAAAACCACGTCTAAACAAACTTACAATAGAAAAGTGCAAAATGAAACTAACCACAAGTATTATATATGTCTTAAAAAAGAAACGCTAAATAATTACAAACCGGCCAACCAAATTAAAAAACCCCAACAAACCTATCAAAATAGTAATAAATATACTCATAAAAAACACATTCTTTAGTGAGATTTGGTGAGATGTAACAATACAAATACATGTGTATATATAAACACCGCCAACCAAATTAAAGACCCAATAACCTATCAAAATAGTAAATAAATTATATCATAAAAAAATTCTTTGGTGAGATTTGGTTGACGATGTAACAAATACAAAATACATGTGTATATAATACTATATATATATATATATATAATAATATATATATTTATATATATATATAATATATATATTATATATATATATATATATATAATAAGGCTTTTGTAAGTTGGAAATAGCTTTCATTTAAATGATATATAATAAGGCTTTTGTAAGTTTGGAAATAGCTTTCATTTAAATGTAATTTTCAATTTCTTCGTGTGGGTTTCTATTACAAGTCTTCTTCAGGATTTGCTCAGGCTTAGTTAGCGTAAAGAGCTGGACTCCATTTCATTACGCCACATCACCACCTCTCTGGTTTTTAAACCAATCCTTTCTCCCTAACTCTCTATCCTGCCCCTTATATTATTGCTTTCCGCTCTCCATACCTAAAACTAAATCCTGAAAATTTAAAAAAAAAAAAAAGGAAAAAATGGAAGGACTTATTCCTTTTGTGTACAGAGCCATAATGCAACACAGGAATGGAAAAGAAGGACCTCTAGATTCATGGCTAATGAGTGAGTCGCCTTCTGCTTCCTACATGAGACTTCCAGGCGATTCGGGTCGGTTTCAGGCATCGGAGATTCAAATTTTCGGATCGGATTATGGGTTTTCTACTACTTCTTCAACTTCTGCTACTGCTAATATGAATTCTTCTTCTTCTTCTACCACTCAAATTATCGTATCCACCGGATCTCAATCTCCTCTTCTTCGCTTGACTTCTCGTCGAGTAGCTGCGTGAGGATGAATTTAAAACAAAAGAAAAAGAAAATGCTGTATGATATTATAGTAAGTTCTCTTTTCTTAATTTTATGTTTGAATGGTAAGTAATAAGCATGTGGAAGACCAAAGGGGAACGCATGCTTTTGTGGTATGTTTCTATTTAGTGTTGGAGTTTGCTGAAGGTAGAAGAAGAAGAAGCATGTGAAAAACCAAAGGGGGACACATGCTTCTTGTAGTGTTAATAATAATAATAATATGCAGAGCAGAAGATTAGATTTGTGTAAATACTTATGATTTGTAATGTTTGAGAAATCTCAAAGTTTATTTGTAAGCCAAAAAGAAAAAGAATAATATAATAATGTTATGTTTCTTGGCCAAAGGGCCATATTGTTGTATTAAGTGTAACAGTGCATGCTTAATCTGAGGATTCCTGGCTTGATTATCAATTGATCTTTTTATTATTAGTATTAGTATTACTATTTTTAGAAAATTTTCCACTTTCTGTGATTTTTGGTTCTTAAACTAAGTGATGTATATTCAGGAAAAGCTCTCTCCTTGTGCACTTAGCCAACAAATAATAAAATATTAAGTGTTTGTTCTGAATATGCGTTCTGGGAAAATAGGTAGTATTCAGATCCGAATATTAAAATCTGGTACGGCAACTAAAAAGAATATTTAAGAGTAAGAAAAGACCAATAGAATATGTATAGTCTATTTACAAGAAACAAGCCCCAACCTGCCAACGCCGTATGATTGAGTAAATCTTTCTTCGACTATTGCCGGTCCAAGACAATTTCTAATTCTTTTTCCTTCACATGTTTAAACTTATTCAAACTTATTTTCAAATAGACATGCTTCTGTACCAAGTACCCGTCCGCCTGACCTAACGCTGCTTATTTGCTCTATATATCAATTTATCATACTTGAATATGTTTTTTTCTTCTTTTCTTAAACCTTTCTTTGGCCCAAATTCATAATAAACTTGAATTTTATGAGTTCAGTTTGGATTTATCTTTTAGGCTGATAAATCAAAATTTTTAACTTGTAGAAAATTTTACCTTTTAAATTTTAAATATTGATTTCAATGCAAGGCTTAAATTTTAAATTTCTATTATATGCCCCACCCTTTTTAGTAGGCGTATAGGTTTCGAGTTTTTGGATCCCTGATCCGTCGATCCCAGTCGGCAGGTACTATCTGATCCCCCTTTCTATTCCGGTCCTTGAGGTATGGAGGATAATTTCAGTTCGATCGCATAAGCTCTACCACTTTGCCACCCGCAATGAACGTTGGGATCAAATATCATAGTGATTATTCCCCTTTAATTACCTCTTGTCGCTTTGATGTTAATCTTTACGCCCTCTGTTCCTGATATGTCGATGCCGACTGGGGGAAGGTTGGTGCTGGGAGATGTCATCCTTGCTTTTAAGAGATGTGTGAAGGATGTACAATCATTTTTCAGGTTCAATAAGTTAGACGTTAGCTGTATGGCTATCTCTACTCGACAGATGGATGTCTGTTGACATGGCAAAAACTCGGCGATGTATTCTCTGGCATTACTGAAAAGGAGCTCTATGTATATCCTCAGAATATTTGATTGAGATGGTTGATGGCAGAATCTGTGTTTATAGGAATTGGGACTAATCCATAATCAGGGAATGTACTTGCTATATCTATTTCTAGTGTCAGCAAATTGCCTGCTGCAAATCTTGCCAATTATCTTCTGGCTCCTACAAACATATTTTTCAGATGTTTGCAATTCTTCACTGTAACAAGCCTTACTTAATTTAAATATTGTTATTGTCAATTTGAAAAGATTTTAGGGTCAACTTAAGAAATTAAAAGGGATAAAGTTAATCTATCAATGTCAAAACTTTGCTAATTAGTCTATGTTTGGATGTGGATAATATTGATGAGTAGGATATTTTTTTATTGACTTTATTTATATATTTGTATATATAATTAAACTTTATATTTTTGAAACATGGAGTGCACCTTATGCATCCAAATTTCTGGATAAAAGAATGTTAAAAAAATTATTGATAAATGATTGTTAAAAAATTTATAAAAAACAAGTAAATTTAAGTGAAGTAAAAATAAAATCAAAATTACTTCTTGTAGTACTATTGAATTATTGATATGTGGTGCTATGGTGGTGGTGAATTTAAATATTACAAATGTAATCACTAGATAAACAGATTTCTTTTAGAATGCATTGACTAAATCGAGAATTAAAATATTAAAAAAAAATAATATTTGCTAGATTTAAAAAAGATGTAGTTTTAGAGAAAAAAAATATGAACCATTTGAATTTTATCAATTAACAGAAATACCCAAAACATTTTCTTTTATTGACATGAAGCATCTCTGTTGATTTTCCATGGGCCGACTTCCATTCCATTATGGATGGATCCAGCCCAATTATAATAACCACAGAATTCATCAATTTTGTTGACTGAACATTAATATCTTCTTTGGAAAACAACATCTTGATTCTTTTTTTTTTTATATATATATAAAATTTGATATTGTAATATTTTTAACCCTGAAATAAATGAATTTCATAAAATTTTATAAAAATTTATTTAAATTAAATTTTAGTGTTTAGTATAAAAAAATAAATTTAATTCTATGGATTTAAATCTAATTAAACAAAACTCTATCAAAGAAGGTGAAATTTCCAAATGAATTTCACAAACTTAAATAATCCAAAGTTTTATGACAAAACTCCCCCTCATAGTTTTCTAGCATTATTATGCAAGAGTATTATCGATATTATCACATTCCAATTCCTTTCCCACATCTCCCAAGGAAAATCTCGAATCGGATTCCAAATTAACAGGTTAGCATGAGCTTATCCATGCGGTTGGAACCGGACCATTTCGGTTCGGTTCCGGTTCCAGTTTTTCTGGGGCGGTTCAGGTTCTAGAAAAGCTGGAACCGGAACCGAACATGGCGGTTTTGGAACCGGACCATTTTTGGTTCGGTTTCCGGTTCCCAGTTTTTTCTGGGGCGGTTCCAAGGTTCTAGACAAGCTGGAACGGAACCGAACCGAAATGGTTCGGTTCCGGGTTCCGAATCCGATTACAAAACTGACGGTTCGATTGGTTTTCCACGCGAATGCATAATTTTAAATTTTAAATTGTGGATACCCGGTTTTAAAAAAAAAATTTTATGTGAACATAAAAATTAAAAAATACAGTTAAAAAATTTTTAAATATGAAAGACGGTTAAAAAAAATTATTTGAAATAAAAATTAAAAATAACCTAAAAAATTTTTCTAAATTTTTGAAGAATCGGTTTAAAAAAACACTTATTTTGAACATAAATATTTAAAAAGATACCCTAAAAAAAATTAAAAAAATACTTTCAATTAAATTTATTTTTTTAAAGACTTGAACTTGTTGAGTGTTGAACATAATGAATTTTTTTTAAAAAAAATTTGAAACTGATTTTTTTTTTTAAGTTTGAACACAAATTAAAAAAAAAAAAAGGGCTTGAACTTAATTTTTTTTTTTTGTTTAAAAAAAAATTTAGTTCTACGTATCTGTCTTGGGGTTAAAGGAATCAAGCCCATGTATTCTCTTTAGCTTACTTATATCATTTTACCCCTTTTACCTTAATTCGCTATTTGCTACCACCCTGGTTGATGTTCCCGTTGAGGACCATCGTATAAATCAAATAAATATATTTTTCTTTTGGATTTTTTGGGCTCTTTTAGTCTCGGTTTTGGTCAATCATCCCACGCCGCTTGTGCTTCTAATGAATTGGGTGTCATACGAGATCGTGTTTCTCAGTTTGTTCCTCCTTGACATAAAGCTTTGTTCAACCACAACAGTGGAGACCGGAGCTACTAAAATTTGTTTTGCAAGTAAAGAAAGAATTGAAAAAGTATTTGCGTGACGACTCCACCAATCTAAAATTGGAAAATCTGCATCAGCATAATCATCACCAAACTCAAAAGAAGTTGTTAGATAATTATCAAATTCAGAAATAGAACTGGATTCCCTTGTTCTTTTTTGTCTTTGCAATGAAACTTATTGAGCAACACCAACACCACTTACCCTTTATGTTGAAAATTGTGGAATATTAGATTGAGAAGAAGTAGAAATAGAAGTAGATGAACTAGAAATATATAATTGCATAATATTTTGTTTAACTTCATGCATTACTACATTTATATTAACATTATCTTCTACTACATTTATATTAACATTATCTTCTACATCAAGATTCAATACTTCATAATAAATAGTCAAATAATCACATAAAACATCCATTCTACATCTAGGATCAAATATAATAGCAACAAGATAAAGGGGTGCTATATTTTTAAAATAAGATAACCATTTTTTTTTCATTGAAAAAATACAATCTTTTAATAAATCATCATTTTGAAATTCTTGGAGTGCATTAACAATATTAATACACAGGTAAAAATAAATGAGATGTGGGATAATAAACCCCACTAAATTTATAGGTAGCATCATTAAAAATTTTTAAAATATCTAAAATTTTTGTACAAATAATTTTTGCCACAAATATCCTAATTTTGTGGATATAAATTAATTTCTTCAATTTTATTAGCAACAAAAATGCATAATAATTCTTTATATGAAAAAGACTCGTTTAATAATTCATATGTTGAATTCCAACGAGTTGGGAAATCCCTTGGAAAACGTTTTTGGTCTTTTATTATTTTCCTTATAAAATTTAGCCCAACTTTTCATTTTTCTTTACAAAATTTAACCCAACTTTTCATCACTTGGGGATATCCCTATAAATATGAAATAACTTTTCTAATTGGAGAAATAAAACATTCAAGAACTTTTAAACCATCTTTTACACATAAATTTAAAAATGGCATGCACATCTTATATGAAAAAATTTACCACCAATATTTGGTTCACAAATTTTTTTAAGTTCAATAATTGATCTAGTATTTGCAGAAGTATTGTCAAATGAAATTGAAAATTTTTTTTTCAACCTATATTCATCTAAAATTGAAACAATTACTCTATAAATATTATTTGCAGTATGTTTATCATCAAAAACACGAAAATCAATAATTATTTTTTGAATTTTCCAATCATCATCAATCCAATGACATGTAATACCCATATAAGAATGCATTTGCCAATGATCACTCCAAACATCACAACACGACAAATTGAAACACGAATTTTTATTTCAGAAAATAAAAGTTCTAACTCTTTTTTTCCTTTTTTTATATAAAGAAATAATAATTTGTTTTATAGTATTTCTTGGCACTTTTTTAGTAGAAGGATTTAAAACTTTTTGACAATATTGATTAAAACCTACTTTTTTACCAAAACTAAAAGATAAATGTTCCATAGAAATCAATTTAGCTAATTCTTCTTTTTGTTGTTTTTCAATTCTTCTTTTTATATTTTTTCAGAATATTTAAATAAAGAAAGGTTAGAAGCG